CCAATAACTTGATATTGATTCACTGGATGGCAACCAACCAAGATGGTAGTCTAACTAAAATCACATGAAGAACGTTTGAAAGAGCCAAAAATCATTGAACTTGGCAGAAGGAAGATGAATTTTTGGAGAAGGTAGATTGAAAGTTGCCTTCAGGTGCAATACAGTCTCTTTTGGGTAGGAAACAGAGCAGAAATATTTCCAGTTACTCAGATAACTCTTCTGAGTTCTGTGGTGCTGTGGCCCCTTTTCCTGGGAGCCATCAAGTGGAAGAGGTAGTGGGGGTAGACTATGAATTAGAACACTCTTACTCTTCTCCCAAATCTAATAGTGCAACCTACAAAAAGATTGTCTCCTTTTCTACTTTTAACTATTTGTTACGAATTGATTTGCTATCATAAGTCACCATTAAAGTAAAAGTAAGCTTAGATTTGCTCTCCATAACCAAAATCCATGAAAAGTAAGCCAAATACAAATTCAAAGAAATGACTTCTGCCCCTTCTTTGCCTAAAATACTATCATGAGCATGCAGTAGGTGTTTGTGCATCATCTCACAACTTGGAGGAGAGACAGCAATTCCTGAACCTTTGCCTTGAAGTTGGGGTTAGATAATTCCCTACCACTCTCAAAGACATTTTACTTTATATTTAAGTTCCAATCTTCAATAACATCTTTCAAAAGGAAGATGAGATTTCTCAACAAGATTCGATACTCCTTTGGCCTCTTCTTCAATGCCTTGATGTCGCTCGATAAAACTCAGCAAGATTTTGTTATAAAATCCAGATGAAGCCACCTGGGTTCCGTGATATAATTTTAAACTTTCCTGCTGCATAGAAGCAAGAGAGGAAAATAGTCAGTTTATAACAGCGCGAAGCTTAACATATGAAAAAAATGCTCAAACTTTCATAAATATGTTCAGAGTTCATATACAGAAGTGCACGTTTTCCAAAAATAACAATCATCTGCTTCAAAGTTTTTAGAATGTGTCTTGGAAGTGATCTGTACAACCTCAAATGCAATGAATGCTAAGAAAAAAATGCTAAAAAAAGAAACAAATCTTCATTTGGCGTGGAACATATGTTATAATCAACATCTACAACTTAGGTACCAGAACCAGACCTAGGGTCAAATCCAGGCTTCACTATGTGATAACTGTGTGACCTTGAACTAGTCACTCAACCTGTCTGTGCTCCCCATCAGGGAATATAATGTTAGTATCTGCTTCATAGATTGTTGAAAGAATAAAATGAGTAAATATATTTACAGAACATGAGTAGTGTCTAGCACACAGCTAGTGCTCACTGTATATTTGTAATTATTGTTGTTGCTGCTTTAAGACAAGAGAAAAGGGACTGAGAATTTCATGGGCTGTAGAATGAAAAACAAAATGCATTTCAAGTAGGAGTGGCACAAAATATCTGAAGCAGAACTATGGTAAGAACTAGGGTCTTCTGTACCTTCGTTTAGACCAGTTCAAAGTCAGTGGGAGTACACATGGCTTGAGTGGAAAGCAATTTTTAGAGAACTTAGCCCTTAACTAGCATTTATGAAATAATTACCCCATTTCTACAGAAGAGCAGCTTGGAAGTCAGTATAGATCGTGCTCTTGTTTGATACACACAGCAAAACAAATGTTTGGGTAAGTGCAGTTTCTCATAGTTATATGCTAAAGAGAGTGATTTGCTCCTAACTTGGAGCTCACCACTTCCTTTATCTCTTATGTTAAAGGTTGCTCATGATTCTGACAGTAACCCTATAAACAGGTTTCTTACAGAGTATGTATTTTTTTAAAAATAGGAAGTAACATCTGTTCTGTCACTAATCCTCCTATGGTTTCCACCTTATTGTACCAGCTAGCACAAAAATTACAAAACTTAAATTTTTAGAAGCACTCAGCACTGGCATCTAGCTCACTTAGTTTTGCAAGAACAAGAAAGTGGGAATTTATGGTTAATATAAAAATAACTATCATTTGTTGAGCAGCTTTTATTGTATCTGGCCATTTTCATTCTCTCTATATATATTATCTCATTCAATCTTCCAGGATTCATGTAAAGTAGGCAGATGTTACTGCAGTAGAGTAATGGAATGCCAGCTTATGCTTACCAACCCCTGAACTCAGTGGAGGGGGGAATACAAGAGAAGTTTGTATATTATTCAACAATGTCTGGGGCAGGTCAGCGACTCCGCTACTGGCATCAGTGTCCCAAGGGCAGCCTTGGGGTGGGCTCCTCCTATTACGTTATCACTACTGGCTTCAGTGTCCTAAGGGCAGCCTTGGGGTGGGCTCCTCCTATTACGTTATCTCAATGCTTGAGTCTTTTTGCTTCCTGCCACACGGACAAAGGAGAGAGAACTAATTTTACATCACTTCCACCCACATCCATTGTCCAGAAATTAGTCGCATGGCAACCTAGCTGCAAGAGAGGCTGGAAAATGGTGAAGAATTAGTAGACATCAGTAAACACTAGCAGGATCTACCATAGTTTACTCTCCTGGTCTGCAAATATCTACTTCCTTCCATCATTCCAAATGCAGAATACACTCTCCTTTCCCCAAAGGAAACACCTCACATTCACTCAGTCATTGCTCTCAGCTCCAAGTCCAGTCTAGATGTGGTATCTCTTAATCTGGTGGCCCATGAACTAAAAGTGATGGTGAATTAAAAGGACAACTCTCTCACACACACACTGCAAATGGTGTAACAGTGAAGGGACAAACACCATAAGGCTTCCTGTACCCCATTTCTTCTATGCATTAATAAAGTAATCTTTAAACCAGAAGAATGGGAGACATAAAGGACACAGGCAGGCAGACGTGGTAGAGGGCCCAAACTGTGGGTGAGGCAGGTCCTGGTGTGGCCCCAGCCCTGCTCTCTGGCAAACCCCTTGCTCATTTTCTCTATGATCTCCAGTTTTCTGTCCCCCAGGGCTCCCTTGCCCATTCCTCTCCTGGGCCACCTGTGAGGTGTGTGTTGAGGAGGTGGTCCCCCGGGAAGCCTGCTGTCCACTTCCCACAAATGAAAGTTGTTTTCAGTCTTGAAAGAAATTGCGTACATTTCCCTAAGGTTTTAGAGACTTTCTCTCTGCACTGTTTCAATAAGAGACATTATTCTCTGTCCGTAGCATAACAGCTACTTTAGATGACTCAAAAGTCACAGTGGAAAATAATCTATAGTCTTTAAAATAACTGATTAGGTTCTTGTCTGAAACGTCTTTGGCTAAGTTCACACAATGAGCATCTCTAATGGATCACACCTGTGTCCATATTTCTATTCCCCTCCAAAAGGTTCATTGATTTAGTGAATGTTTCCTATATTCACTTAAGGAATTTCATTATATCACAACCATTCATTAAGTATGACAAAAAAGTCTACATTGGGGCCCTCCCTGGTGGTACAACAGGTTAAGGCACAGCACCAGGAAGCTATCCACAGCCACTGTAGCACAAATTCAATTACCAGCCAGGAAGTGACCTACATGGCGCAGCAGACCTCTCCTGTCTCCCCACTGCTTCCTTCAGCAGTGGATTTCAGTAACTCTGCCTGTTCTGCTCCCCACTCTGAATCTGGTGATTCCTCTTAATCCCCGTACCTCTGGCCTGTACTCTAGTTCTTAGGTGCATAAATAAATAAGTCTTTTTAAAAAAAAAGTCCACATTATCCTGTCTGCTCTCTGTACACAGGCAACATATTTGCAAAAGTTGCTCAAACTGTCATTGGTCTGATCTAGGTGATCAGTAAATACTTATTGTCTACCAGGCAATAAGCAAGCTCTACCTTGGGTTTTGTTTGCTTGTTTACTTCTCTTGCTGAACATATAGGCTGTTTCTGCCTTAGGGCTGGCATAAACAATACTGAGATGAGCCCTTGTTCATCCACACCTGCCAGCCCATCTGTCATTATCTCCTTGAAATAAATTTGTAAAAATAGAATTGCTGGATGAAAAATCATCTGCAGTTTTCTCATAGGTTTT